TTTTTGGTTTACTATTGTTACAAGAGACATTTAAGGAAGAAGAAGGAGATGAGAGAGGAGACGGTGCGGTCTCTAGCGCAAGATGCGACACGATTTCTGCATCCAGAAGACGATATGATGGAGCGGGATGGCGGATCGGCATACCCCTGGACGAGCCATTCTTGGTACACGGGAGGTCACGATCCTTACGAGACGATCGACAGATCGCTCGGCTACGAATCGTTAAGGACAGGCCATGGTCCGGGCAACAACCAAGGTGTATATCAACAGCCGCCCGGTTTGCTCATTCCGCGCAAACCCATACCTCGCGCGGCAAGAGGCGCATACCAACCAGCAGCGAATCTCACCACGCCAGGCCACATCCACCCAATCTACGAAGCAGATGAAGATGACCCCGAGCACGTCAACAGAAGGAGGGATCAGGAGCCCGCGACACCTACCACACCGGGGCACGCCGACCCGTTCATGACGCCGACGGGGTCCGTCCCGATCTTGACCCCCGGCAACCGAAACTCCATGACGCCCAGTCCAGAGGCCCTCCAGCGCCGCAACACTGAGGTGCAGGACTGGCAGTCGGACATTGACGCTACAGAAGCCCTCCTGGCTCGAATGCCCTCGCGCCGCAATAGCCGCGTCTCCCCAACAAGGCGCGCGTCTATGCGTTCGGCGCGGTCCATGGCAGATGACGAGCGGACGGCCAGCAACGTCTCCGAGTCGGCGCGGAGTGCTATCAGCGTACCCACGCGCTCGGCGTCTGCGAGACGAAATAGTACAGGACCGAATAACCTGACCATCATCACCGATAACCGGGTAGGCACCTCTTCGTCGTCAAGCAGCAGCGGGCACACATACTCCACCGCCAAGACAACCTTCAACGCCCTGCAAGCCGAGGGTCCCTCGCTGCTCCTCCAAGGCCAGCGACCACGCAACGAGCACGACGACGACGAAGAGGACTTTGTACACATCCCCAGCAGCCCCAGCAAGCACAAGCCCCGTCGATCACTCGGGTGGCTCGGCAGTCTCCGGCGCGTCTTCAGCAGCGGCGTCAACAACAACTCGTCCGACTCGAGCGACCACGAGAGCCCGCGGCGGTTATCCCTCGACCAAGTCAGCTCGGACTACGAGCCGCGGCTGGTCGGGCTATCCGGGATCGGCGGCGCCGAGCTCCTGCGCAGGAAGCAGGGCCGGCACGACTGGGACATTGACCAGAAGTCGCTCGACGAGTGGGATATCGAAAAGGCGATTGAGCAGCGGCTGGTGCAGGTCATGTTCACGGTGCCCAAGGAGCGGCTGCGGGTCGTCAACGCCGAGATTGAAAAGGAGGAGGAGGCGATCCTCGTGGACCCGGATAAGGACGAGATGGAGGGCCTCGACGGGGCGGATCTGGAGAAGAGGGCTCTCGCGGAGGAGTATAGGGATAAGGGCAAGGGCAAGGAGATTGCTCTTGACGACGATGACGACGATGACCCGGGATCCCGGAATAGGGGCGTGTATGCGCGCAGACCCGAGTCGCCGAGCACGGGGTCGCCGGTGCGCGGACGGAGGTTACTCCACCTCCCCCCGCCAAAGGACGACTCTGGGGAGTCTTCTCATGGTCACGACCACCCGCTGCCGAGCCGGGAAGACTCTGCGGAGCCCCGGCCGTCGCTGACGCTTCGTACGGCCGAGGTCGTGAGCGTGGCGAGGCCGAGGACGAGGGTCCTCGAGATGGTGGAGAGCTTCGAGTCGAGGAGCAGGGAGACCAGTCCGTCGCTCGGCTAGGCGCCGGGTGATGATCACAAAGGACGTGGGGACTTTACCCTGTTTGACTCGTTTTCTGCCGTCGGACCTGCTGCTGCTGCTGCGTTGGCGGAGTCTGGATCGGGTACTTTCGATGTCTGATTAGACGGACCATGGGGGGGGGGGGGGGGTCTGGTGGGGGGGGATCCGGGGGGGGGTTTGGTTTTTTTTTTTCCGGGGGGTTTGTTTTTGGTGTTGTGTGTGGGGGGCGGGCGGGGTGGGGTGGGGGGGGTGGTGTGGTGGGGTGGTTGTGGGGGGGGGGGGGGGGGGGGGGGGGGGGGGGGGGGGGGCTCTGTTGGTCGTGAATCCGTCGGGGCCTTTGTCTTTTTTTGTCCCGCTGGTCTAAAGCGTATCTGCGTTGGGAGTTTCTCGAGGCGTTTTGGGTTTTTGCTGGATATCAACCGCCGTTCGTTCCAAGGAATCTAGGAGGGAGAAGGGGGGGGGGCCCCCAGTCATCTGACCTGTGTATGTGTGCGTGTGTGTGAAATGGGAAGAAGGGGGTGGGGGGGGGGGGGGGTTCAAACAGTGTATACAATGGAAATATCTGGGAGTCTTTTGGCCTTTTCCCGTTCGGCGTGACGGGGATCTGAATATTGAGGGACGGACAAATCATGGGATATTTTATTGGAGGGGAGAGGCAAATTTGTTGTATCTTGTGTTTAGTTTTACCACGGCGAATGTGAAGGCGTATCTACTGTCGCTTACGTTACGAACCAAATCGACTTTTGGATCTCGCATGTAGAAAACTGGGCAAGCGTGTGAATACTTTTACGTTCAAAGCGTGTGGATACATCAGTACTTTAGTCAACGAGCATCAATCACGGTAGAGATCTCATAGCCAAGTTGACAGCGCCAGGACCATTCAAGATTGTTTGTAAATGTGTATGTTCATTCCCACCTAGCTAAATGATGTGGTATCTCGTAAAGAAAAACAAATAAACGCCGATTTTTCCTATGCATTGCCTCCCACCTTGAACCCCCCCAAAAAGACCAAACGAATTCCCTCAAACCTTATAGTCGTGAAAGGGTTCCAGCAGTTCCTCTTAGACCGCTGACTATTATCCAACATGTGAACCGTCGCGATCTGTGACTTTTGTCCAAGAATAAAAATCTTATATACATGGCTCGGTCTAAAAAGCCTGACCAGGCCCCGGCTGCTGTTCGTGCGTCTGGTTCCCGTACGGGTGACTGGCATGCGGTTGTTGCTGACTGCCAAACGCCTGGTTCTGGTATGCTTGTTGCTGGTACGCCTGTTGCTGAAGGGCCGGATGTCCGTAGGCGCCGTTCATCGGCGATCCAAGAACAGGACTCTCTGGCATGATGGAGGCGGCTGCTGGGCTTTGTGGTGGTCCCCAAAGCGCTTCTCCTACCCTTTGCTGCGTCAAGTCGCGGGGACCTGCGACACCCAGATTTGCTGGTGCTGCCGGCCCCGTTCTCCCCCATTCGCCGTTGCTGGGCCCCGGGTGTGCCGAGTGTACTGGCGTCATGCCCGTCTGCTGTTGGAAGCTCTGGTCTTGGTAGGGCGAAATTGGCGACATGGGCGACAAGGGGGACACCGGGCGCGCGGGACGGCGTGGCGGAGACATCTGCGAGGGATTCGGTTGGGCGTGGGCGATGAGGCTGTCGCTCTCGTTACCAGGGCGCTGGGGTCGTGGAGGTGGTCGCGAGGGTTGCAGGTATGTGCTGCGGCGGAATTCGGTAGCGATTGGAAGGTGATCGGTGCTCTTGACACCGGCGGGATGGTACCCCGTGTCTCCGCCCTTGTCGAGGTCGTCCATGTCGAGGCTGGCTGCGGTCTTGTAGCTAGGGTCCTCGTGGCGGCGCTTGACACCGCAGAGCAGCCAGCGCATACCGCGACCAAAGGCCTTAACAAAGTCCCACAGGTTAAGGGCGTCTCCGACAGCCTTTAGACCCATCCATCCGCCGGCGGGGGCCGTATGGACGTTTTCGCGGAGGGGAGCGTGGCTATCTCGAGAGTCCGCGGACGGGTAGTATGTGGTTTTGGCGCCCGGGACATAAGGGGCGTAAGGGAAGGCCCAAAGATGGAGGAGGGCGAATAGTGCCATTTCGAAACACAGAAGAAGGGCGGGAATGCCGACTTTGATGTCCGGGTAGGCCAGGACTTTGTTCGGGTGGACAAGGTCGAGCGTCGAGGTGGCGAGGGAAATGCAGGTGACCTGCCAGAAAGAGAAGAAGACCACAAGCTTGATGGCAAGGACCTTGAGGAAGGGCGAATGCTCCTTGAGGGGTTCTCTCATCTGGACGTAAAACTGAATGACGGAGTACATGGCAATAGTGACGGCCACACAGTTGATCGAGATGACCTGTTTCTGTTAGTGAAGAACTCCAGATGGCCTAGGGGGCAAATAAAACATACCCAAATGTGAGCAAAGACTGGGTTATTTGAGCTTTCGCAGTAGCGGTGGAAGTATTGGGTGACGACGGCCGTGACAGTCATGGCGACGCGGATAAAGACGTAATGATATACACCAATCCAGATGACGTTGAACCAGGTCAAGCCGCTTTTGGGCGTGCGCCAGGGTCCTCTCTGTCCTCCACAGCACTTTGCAAACCAATCGAGAGGCCAGACCCAAGGCTTGATGGGGTAAAGATTGCGGAAGTAGTCTTTCTGGGTATGGACATCCGGGGCGAGATAGTGGCACATGAGCGAGAAGAAAGATGCGATGGCGAAAGCCTCGTAGCAGTCGCTCATGAGCTGGAAGTAGACCGCGTGCCAGTAGTACCAGAGTTGAAGGAATGAGGAGGCGGCGTAGACGGGGACCATGAAGAGGATACGGATGATCTGACGCTGCTCGCGGGGCTTGGTATAGTTGATCGAGTGCATGAAGACGAGGTAGAAGGAGAGGCATATTGCGACGATGGTGCAGGAGCCGGCAATGATCAGGGCGAGGTCGTGGAAGGTCAGGGGACCAGCGATGAGGATCTCGGAGCCGGGAAGGACTGAGAGAGAAGAGGGCTTGTTAGTTTTCTTGCACGATGCGGATGTCTCACGGGGATAGGGTTAGGGGATTTCAGGGTCGAGTGACATACTCCTCAGCTCTTCGAGCGTTGAATTACACGTTAAATTCATGGCGACGACAGCTCAGCACCGTGCCGAGGGGTGACCTCCGGAGGACGGGGTATCGTGTACGGAACGGAAGGCCAGCAAACTATGGCAGCGGGTTACGGGAGGACTATAAGCGGCGTGGCAGGAGCAGACGATGACGATGTCGGTGTGGATGAGGTTGGTGGGTTGGGGTTTAACGGTTGTGCCAAGACTGGTGCGCTGCAGGAACAGAGCGGGTGCCGGTCTTGGCAGAGCTTGGTCGCCTGGTGGCTCTGGATTGCGTTTGGGGCGGGTCGCGTGGTCGCAAACGGACTCGCAGAGGAGAAGGAAAAGGTCGAATTTCGAATTCAAAATGACGGATTCGTGATTCGGGATGGCTTCCTCGTTATAATTCTACCGGTTCAGAGTGAATTTCTCCCTTCAATTCGCGCCGTGTCTCTCCCTCTGAGACGAGACGAGTACGGTTGTGGATTTCTGTGGGTGCTAGAAGATCGTGGCCGAGTGGTTCAGAAGGGATTGTCTTTCCTCAGTCCGCGCCCAGTAATGTAGTCGCACGTCGATCCTCCTCTTGCAAGATTCCACAGAAATACTAACGGTCCGTCGCGCGCAATTACAGAGCTGGGGGTTTTCCTTTTCGTCGTTGGTCGGGGTTCGGGGTATCGTTTCGGTCTTCGTTATCGGGAGTGTGACGTTGAATAAAATGCAGTTTGGTATGAAGAAGGTATTTTCGGTCAATCGATGGAGGATTCCCGCGGCCAAGAAGCAAAAACAAAAGAGCAAGGCAGAATCGGAAGAGTAGACAGACGCGCACCAAGGAGACGGCCGTTGTGGTGAAGGGTTTGGAAGGAGGGAAGAAGAATGACGAAAGCGCAAGACTTGGAGGGGGGGAAATTGGCGAGAGACATACAACCCGTTACTCAGGAGGTAAGCACCAAAGCAACGAGCATGCTTCCTTCCTCAAGCTGTAGGAGGTACTCCGTAACTTAGTAGGGGACCAGGGGTACCGGGTACTTCGAGATGCATTACCTAAGGTGCGGCGGCCCAGTGGGTGCTAAGGCAATGGAAAGAGTCCGGGGCCGTTTGCCAAGTGGCTGAGTGCCAAGGGTCGACGACGGAGCGGACGCACTAAGATTACAGGGCCGCTGACGACGGCGGCATCCAGTCAGCAGCGAGATCCCTCCCGCCTCCGGGACAACGCAGCGCCGCCCTTCAGGGGTTTCCCCTTCACATGGCCCTTTTCGTCTCGACTTTTGGGGCTGCTCAGCCGTACCAAAGTACGCAGTACACAGCCGTGGCGCGCGTGGAACAGCATCATTGTTCAAATCCACCTCACCAAAACTGCATCGTCCAACATCGGATGCTCAATGCAAAAGAGCGTCACCGCCTTGCTATGATCAGTGCCGGTTACCGAAGACATCTATTTGCAGCATCGTCTGCCTTATGTTGGGTACATCTACGCCACACTCTCACCGATGCGAAATCAACATCATCAGAGTATTTATTCGTACCTCCTATGGGCAAATGTGAACGCGTCACTCGTACGGGGCAATCTCATTACCATCTCTTATTTCAATCTTTTTTTCCTCGCCGTACGGAGCACTGCGACGGGCTATGAACAGGGATCCAACACCAAACAGCCGGGCTCCCTCCTCCCCCTTCCCTGGGCCCCTTCCTCAAATCTTGTCCCTCCCGCGCGGCGTTTTAGAATTCGGAAACGAAGGAGAGCAGATTAGAAAAATTTGATCCCTACTTATTTTGCGACCCAAGACTCGAAGCTATGAACGAATTGCGGAACAAGACCGACTCTCACTGGCTGTTTAAAATCCCCGATATGACCACCGCGGATGGGATGTGCAGCGGGTGCGCACGCACAGCGGCATGATGGATTTTGACTGCCATGCACTGATCTTTTGATGATGCAGGGACTCGGCCTCGATCAACCTCGAGCACATTCAATCAACGTCATTCTTTTCGTCCGAGCAATCTTTCAGTCTCCTGCACAGCAAAACTCTCTCCCTCCCTCCTCGCCGCCGCCAGGCGGCTGATCAAACACACGGCCCATCGCAATGAGACGAACACCGGACGGACTGACAGATGCGACGTCACAGGCCTCCCAAAGAACGGGGGAAACCCGATGCACGAAAAAGACACTAGTGAGAAAGAGAAGCACATTTACCATCCCCTCAGGAATACCACCAAATCATCATCGCGATTCTGCCTCACTCATACTATGTATTAATTACCGCGGCCCCGGGACCACGACGACGAAGCAGAAAAAGTCAACGCCAACGTGCCAAGCCTGCCCCCCATGTTCCTTTTTTATGTTCCTAGAGACGCGACGACATCCCACTTTCCGCACACCTCTCCGCCGTACGGATACCCTAACTCGATATCCGTACAAGTTCCCATCTCAAAAATACTCTCTGTCCATGCCAACCAGAAAGAGGTTATTCCCACATCGTCAGCCACAATTGAGGCGCGGTCGTCGTATACCTATAGCCCCGGTCGACAGTACCTTGGTTCTCGCATTCCAGGCCCATCTCATTTTGGCATTTGCGCTCCTCTTCTATCAAAAATACGAGTCAAACCAACATTACCTATTCGTATTACTCGTATACGGAAAACCGACCGCGTATTTCTCTCCCATCAAATCTGCCCAGTCTCTTCACAACATCTTCAACTCCTCCGTACATACACAGAATAAGTGCAGCCTGCCATTCATCATTCGTGTGCTGTTCATCATCCTCTGTTTGTTTCGGTATGTACTCGCCCCTTCCAATCTCACCTTGCCCATATTCAATGTCTCTCACCTCCGAAACTCAGTTTCGGCTGTGACTTTGTACTACCACCCTAAAACGCCCCCCCCATCTCGAACAACAACCTCATTACTTTTCAGCCCCAAATGACCTCCCCCTCCCCCGTCATCTAATTCGGTTTTGTTTCGAAACATGCAGCCTCCCATCGATCCATCAATCCCTTCCCTCGCTCCTCGCGGCTCCCACGGTTGATGAAAGTATGCTTATGCCACTTAAACACGGACGCCTCAAACCCGCCATCAGATCCCCAGAGCGGTTCAAAAACGCATTGAAGGTAATTCTGGTCGTGAAATAGGGGTGAGGGGGGGGGGGGGGGAATAGTGCCACCATCGACGCCTCCTTCCTTGGAAGCCCCGTCCACCGAGGAACGCGTCCGATCAAGAAGACACCAAGGCTCCTAGCGCTGCCAGTCCGCTCCAAAAAGAATCCTGCATACCTAACTATTTTGCGCATGACGCCAGTCCGCCCGGCTTGATTGAGCCTCATCTCGAACCTCCGATCAACAATACTAGGAAAAGGGGAATGATCTACGGTACACAGAAAATGACTTAGTAACGAGGCAAACTCCCAAACACAACAACACATGGAATCATCAGATCACCCATTGCTAAGAAAGTTCACTCAACCGACCTCCCTCTTAACTACCAACTGCAACTTACGACGAGAAAGGCGACATGGAACAATGGACTTTACCATCGTCAACTCCGTCGGGGGAGTCAGCATACATGGTAGCTGCTTAGGCATGTGAAATGTACACCCACAATCTCCGTATGAACAGTAATCCATTCTGTCTCCATTCATTCCATCCACACCCCGAATCCAGATAATCAGATCATATTACCCACCTCCGAAATCCGCTCTCTCCTTGTCCTCGCATCCAAAACTAAACGCTAAGCTTTTCCGCAAAAAAAAACACCCCCCCTAAAAATCGAATGAAACACCAGCAGCGTCTAATCACGTCCACCAGCTGCCCAAAATTTCCCTTGCCGCCAAATTACCAATGACATCAACCCGCCACCTACACACACACACATACATTGGAGTCAGGTATCCGTAAACAAAAAAACCCAACATGCATCTTCATCAGGGCTATCGTCTACGAGATTTCCATCAGAGGCTCAGAGCACAAAACTCACCCCACATCGAAAAGTTGCGATCGACCGCGCCTTGCTTCCGCCCATCCCCCCCTCCCCGGCCGTGACCTATCCGTACCTCTTCCGACCCTCCTTCTTCTTCCCTCTCTCTACCACAGTACAAGTAAGTACGAAGTACACAACTTCCAAGTTTTCAGGTTTCCTCACAACGCACAAACAAAATCCTTCCAACCAACCTTGGTCCTCCAACAGCAAGGCTCTACGCGAACAATCATAAGCAGTAAAAGAGTCTGAACCCCTGTGCCCTGTGCCATCTATGATTCATCCAACATGTGCCTCCGTCCATCGTTGCAACGTCCATCCCCCGTACTCCCGTATCCGATACGCACACACATACGCACTCGAGTCCCCGAGCCTTTTCCTCGCCGGCCCCGGTCCGACCCATCGAGAAAGGCTCTTGAAGCGTTGCCCGAGACTGCGGCGTTTGTCTTGACGCGATACTCATGATCATCACATACTCATTGTACACCATATGGCGAAGACATGCATCATTTGTACGCGTTCGATTGATATTATGATTGTCGTAACTAGCTACAGAACTTTTCTTCCGCTCCAGTGACCATTGTGCACAGTCTGCTGTTCGGTCCCCCAAGACATCCGGTGACGGGCTACACAGCCTGTAACCTCGACGCGAGGCCTCCATCTTGGGCTCAGCTCGACCAGCTTCGTGCAGCCTCCGCAGTCCCGGGTCACTCTATGACGTGTCGTGGATGCATCATCACCCACAAGTGTGTGCCCATGGAAAGAGGAATGGTGCCAAAACTGCTACCATTTGTAACCAATCTCACCCATCCGTCCATCGTGAATTTGTCCAAGTCGTTTCGCTGTTGGCTCATGGCCCGCTCGTGTATGTACAAATGCCGCCATCGTCATACCCTAAGAATCGTAGCCCGACTCTCGTACTGGGAAGGCAGGGCTCTTCGTCTACGATCACTTCCCTCGGCCTTGTAAAGAAACCCCGCCGATGTGGAGGATCGCCTTTGGGCTGTCGACAACTCCCAAACCGCCAGTCGAAAGGGGAGATAGAGAATTGAAATTATGGCAGCCGTCGTCCTCTGCGTTCGTGTTGCCCATGTGATGTGTTCGTGTTCGTGTTCAGTGGCCTTATGCCCATAATGTACTGCGGCGGATGTCGATCCTAACTGATCAACCTTATCACGCCTGGTGTTGCCGCGAGGGCCACCCAATCCAGAATCCTTCTATGCAGAGTCGTTAAATGAATGGAAACGCCGTCCTGGTATCTCAAAAACGCAATGCGAAGACCGAAAATTGGTACCTGGACCGAATTCGTGTACGTCGTAAACGAGTGTATGACATCTCGTTGTCTTGGTCCGCCCGATCAATCCATCGACCTTCAAGTGTCAGGATCCGGATTGGTCGCCCGCAAGACTGGTTGATGAACCTTGCGGGAGTAATCTTGGTCGTCGCGTAGGGTATTGATACTCTCTGCACTCTTGTTGTGCACGTAGAGGCCTCTCGGAAGAGGATCCAGGCGAGGGTCATGAGCGAGAAGGCGGCTCCGGCGATGATCGCTTGAGGCGTCGGGATCCCATCGTCCTCCATCAACAGTGACAACCATTTCGGGGTTTCGTGGCGAGCCGGTCATGCCGGCGGAACTACCACGATGGCTAGGCTCGTCGTACTTGTCGTTCTCGTTTTGCTGTTGTCTCCGACGTCTGAAAAACAAGAAGAGTCCCAGTCCTGCAATGGCCACAACAGCGGCAATAACACCAACCACGATTCCAACAACAGCACCGGTGCTGGGTCCATTCGACGACGATTGGCTGCCGGGCGTCAGTTCGGAGGCGCCCGTTGCTCCCTCGGTGCCCGTGGCAGTCGGCGTAACGAAGATGGTCCTCACGGTTCCGTCGGCTGTCACCGTTTGAACCGTCGATCTCGGTTTGCTACTACTCGAAGTCTGGATTTTCAGTCAGCGTTTGCTCGTGTCAGTGACACACCCCCTCATTTGTCAAATGCAGGTTTACGGGCACGGCATGTTGTTGGGACTTTTGAGAGCATACAGATGTTGTTGACGTAGTCGTCGTTTCCGGATCGGGCGTGACTGTGTTCTGAATTGTCTCAGTTTTTACTGTTGTGATGACTTGTACGGTTGTTGCAGGCGGGGCCGGAGGGGCCTGGTTTCCAGACGATTAAGCCAAGGCATCACACGTGGTGGAGGTGAGACGATGGAGTCTGGGGATGAGGTTCGGGATCGTGTAGGGTATGGAGATCACGCAGAATCACGCATGCAATTCACGATACATGGCTGAGGGGATTGTACTCACTTGTGTAGTAGTGCTGGCTGCTGCCTTGGACGATGACGAGCTGTCACCTCCGCTGCCGGCGGTGCTGGTAGGAGTCTTCGCCAGCGTCAGGTATCCGTAGTAGTTGGGCCTTGAGCCGCAGTGCTCGATGTCGTAGCCGGGACAGATATCATTGCATTTGTCGCTCACTTCGGCTTCGCTGGACGCGGCCGGCGCGACATCAGAGCACCAGCAGGACTGCCACTGGACAATGGCAAAGGCGTAGTTCTTGTCTCGACAGAAGTCGGTGCATAGTCCATTCGTCTGCCATGTGCTGAGATCTATTATAGATGTGAATTAGCCATTGCATGCGTGTGGGCAGAGGAAGGCAAAGGCAGAGCTGGCCGAGGATGTTGAAAGCCTCAAGTAGCGTTGCCATGTCATGTCTTCTTGGGAGGACTTCAACGTACTTGCGCTCATGGATGCCGTGTTCGTATTAGAGCAGAGGTTCTGCGTCAATTGTCGAGGCATGAGGATTTCGGGTTCTGGCGCAGCCTGTGCCATTGTCGCCCATGATGATAGCGCCAAGGCAAAGATGCCCAAGCATCTCGTCGTTCGTTGGGTGAAAGTCATGATGGATCCGTCCCGATAGACAATTGTACTGAGAGATTTTCGGTCAGTATAGACATTCGAGATTGAGGGGGAAGAAGTAATTTTAGGTTCACAAAATGAACTCGTAACCAATGGCTGGGCTTCACGGGACTCTGGACTTACACTTGTTGGAGTCAGACGCTCACGGGGCTGACATCTGACGTCTGGATCGGTCGGTGGGCGGCGGGAGGAAAGGTTAAAAGGTGCTCCCAAAGGTAAGATGCTGTGCCTGTCCTACACGACCACGCAGGCAAGCGGGAGACCGCAGGAGTCGTTGACGATGACCTTGAGAGTTGTCCGCAGCTGGTCCGAAGAGTATCGACTATCGTTGCTTGAAACTGGAGGGGTGAAAGCCGCAAAATAGGTGCCGACTCGAATGAGGTTGAGGCCGGGAGGTGGGAGAGAGAGAGAGAGAGAATGGGAAGGCAAGTAGGCCGGGCCGTGGCGTTTGGTACGAGATTTGTTGGCGCCAAGTGTGAATGGGGAAAGAGGGCGAAAGGGTTCGGATGTGAAAACCCAAGAGTGAACGCGGCGAATAATTACTGGCAGCCGAGAGTAGCCAAGCACCGATGGACCAGTGACTGAGATGATTGCCCCTAGAGACAACTAGCGCGATGATTGAGGATAAGAATTGGGGACCTTTTGAGACAAGAGCAACGAGGCGACCGGGTGCGCAAGAGTCCGAGTATAATTATGGTCCTCCCTCTTTTTATTAATGAACAGCGTCCTTGTTCCCTCGATTAAGGTGTGGCCTGAGGGTCAGGGATGCGCAGGGTCTGTCAATCAGTCAGGGCCGATGCTGTCTTTGTCGTCCAGAAGGTTGTCGGCCTTGCGTCGATGTGGTCGTGGCCCGGATGGTGGAGGGGAGGGGAAGAGAGTGAGGAGGAGGGAAGGAGGAGAAGGTGTGGAGGAAAGAGGTGAAGTGAGGGTGATGTTGGAGAAGTGGTGATGGTCAGGCAGCCCCGGGTAGAAAAGAAGCAGGCGCCAAGAGGAAGGAAGCGAAGGGAAGGAGGCAAGCCGCAAGAGCAGGGAAGAGAGTGGACAAGCGAGCGAGCGAGCGAGGTGGAATTGGTGGTTGGTGCCGAGCAGCAGAAGCAGCAGAATGCAATTCGTAAGGTATTAACCGGTATCTGCAGCTACAACGGCATCGGCAACAGGGCAAATGCAGCAGGCTAGCAGCGACAGCACCTTGAGGTAGCTAGCTGGGAGTAAGACCCAGGACCCAAGACCCAAGCAAGCAAGGGCCGGGGAGGGAAACGAGAGACTGGGTGCAGGCAAGAGCTGCAGCGAAGCGATTGTGATGGTGGTGGTGGTGGTGGTGGTGTTTCCCCCCTCTGTATCTGGACGGAGTGCGAATACTGCGTAGGTACGAACACAGTGATTTATGAGTGTGTCTCTTGTCGGTCTTGCCGGGGGATGCTTGCTTCACCAAGTTCACCAACAGAGACAAAGGCGCGAAGGCGGAGGCAGAGAACGGGTGTGAACACTAGGAATAGCGTAGAGAAGAAAAAGTTGACGATAATGACAAGAAAAGGATAAGGGAAACGAAGGAGGTCTAGCTAGGTAGGCAGGGAAGAAGAGAGAAGGAGAGAAGATTCCAATATCGAAAAAGAAGGTGGATCGAGGAAGAGGAGTTACAGGTAAAGAGGCAGAAGCCAGGTCACGGCTGCGGGATGTTTTCTGGGAGCGAGAAGAGGTAGGGATCGTGGATAGGTGGAGGGGAGGGGGGGCGTGTCACGGTGGCTACGGATACCATGGATGATCATGAATTGGCATGGGCATGGGGAGTATCAGTAGAAATTTAGAATGGCACAATTGGGAAATCCGAGGAGGACGACGGGGGGAGAGGAGGATTAGACGCTAGAGGCAAGACGGTGATGGAGTGGATTTCTTGGGATGATGGGATGGCAACTGTCCGTGTGTGGAAGACGAATGAGGCGAGCACGAGCCGAGCAACGACCACCAAAAGCCAAGAACGACGCACGCAGCAGCAGTCACTGACAGGCTGCAGCACCTGCCAACCAGCACCAGCAAAGTTGCAACATTGGAATTGGAAGGAAAGCCCAACGAGCGGGTGGTTGGAACTTGCCTTGCAGAAGGAGAGAAAAAAAACAAAAAGTGGATTTGACGTGACTGGAGTGGGGCCATCAAACCAGGACCAGGCAAGAAGGACACGACCCCATTTGATTGCGACCAGGGCCAGGAAGGAACCAGGACGGGGGTGGTTCTTGCTTCTGCTGTGTTCTACGTAGTATGTACTGTAGTAAGGTAGATACTGCGAACAGTCCAAAGTCCACACACACTCTCTCCTCACCTCAGCTCACCTCGATCACGTTCTCTGGGCTCTTTCTTCGCTCTGTGTGTTTCTCTGTGTGTTTCCCTTACAATGCTCATCGATCCCAATTGCACCCAAGAAAACAACAGGCCATCGCATCTTTCATCCGATTGGACGTGCCAATGCCAATGCTCTTCTCTCCAAGTATCAGAGTGGGACACGACAGCTGAGAAACCCAACAGCATGACCCGGTGAATCATCCTCAAGCATGTTGTGCGTTGCGTCCGCGTGCGAGCTTGCGAATGGCCCGCCAGAGACAAACTCGGTGCTGGTGGCGGTCGATGGAATACGCTCAGCGACAAACCACAACCCTCTCGATATGTGGACGCGTGCCGCCCATAGTACCTCAAGCTATGGATACTCTAAGGAGTACTGTCCTAATAAGAGGTGCCAGAAGAAATATCAAAGACCATCACCGCGCACATGGTACCCAAGCATGTGTGTAACGACGTTGCAACTTTACCGTTGCATTCGCATCCAATCCGGGTCAGTGGACGGCCGGCCGGCCATGAGCCCTGCGATTGGGATAGCAGCAAGTGCGCCTCCTGCCTGTCTTGTGAAAGCCGCAAGCTATCAAAGATACAGAGAGCGATACTCCGTATACACAGTAGATATACCGGCTATGCCACTTGTGTCCAACCGCATAACAAGCCCTTCCCCACGACGACACAACTTGCATAAAGATAACCAGGTGCAACAAGCGGAAGGTAATACTTCGTACTTCAGTCAGCACCAACAGGGCCCTTTCGTCTTTTCGCCCTGCGTATATAATGCTCGCCGACCCTTCGCCGTCCTCGCCATCTTGGACCTGGTTTCCCTGACTCTCCAAGCTGCCCTACGGCAGGGGAATTAATTATCTCCAGTCGACGGACAATCAGCGAGAGAGGTGCCAAGACCACAAACTCCCCACCATTGGCACTGAAGTCGACACGACATCCCGGTCAGCAGAATGGCCCAAGGAGTCCCGCTTCGCGCGCGCCCGGCGCTCCATCCCGAGCTTGGCCTGATATAGCTTAGACCGGCTGTGGCGTCGTGAGCAGCGCACTGTTAGTCGAGCTTGCAGGGGTTTCGACGAACATCCAAATCAAACGCAGCTTGCGGACGGACCGACAGAAGTGCCCGAGAACGAACCAACGATGCGGCTGTGTGAGTGGATGAGCAGACGCGGCGTCCGTCAATCTCAATCTTGCGTTCCTCCCGCCGCCGTGTCGAAATGACTGAGAGTCTGTCAATCCCATCAATGCTGTCTAAGCGGCAGGCATCGCGGCGGCAGCCAAATGTTTATTACCGCCGCCAACTCCATCCTTCTTCTTCATCTTCTTCTTCTTCATGATCTTTTGATCTCCATCTACACAGTATGGGTCTCGGACTTGAGTGAGAGAGAGACTCGAATGAGTGATGGATGATCTGTCACCCCCAAGATGCACCTTCAGGAACCCCCCTGCCTCTCTATTTTACCCCTGCTCCTTTCACACCCCTGATCCCCTGAGCCCATGTTGAATGTCGTCACTCTCCACTCTCAAGCTCCAGAAAGCACTGACCAGCAAGCGCTTGACTTCTTTTGTCTCTATGCTCGTTGATAGGTGGATCTGGCATGGCACAAAAACAACATAAAAAACAGCTGGATACGGATGGATACGTTGTCTCTCTGGCCGCCTGTGCCGTGCCTGGCAACGCAAACTAGACATGCGTACCCGGGAGGCATGATGCCTGCATTCCTTGCCGTAGCCCGACATCTTCTCAGCTGCCTTCAGCGGCTGTCTCTGTCTCTCACTCAAATTCTCTCCCTTTCCCCCTCACCCAAGGCCTTTCAAGCTCTCCCCAAAAACCCCCCCAACTCCGATACCCCAAACCCCCGGGTACAACATCAGCTGAAGTGAAGCGCTGGAACAGCGACAGAGTTCTCCCCCACAGCGATGATCTCGTCGCTAAAATACCAGACACAAGCAAGGGTGGGCGCCTCCACGGATCCAATTTACACTGCTAACTTTGGAACATGCTATTTTGCTTTACCGCCCGCCCTCGCTGTCACCCATTCGCTCATTCAATCGGTGAGGGATGGATGGATGGGTGGGTGGATGGATACCTAATCGATCCGCCTCGAGTGAGGCAACACACTCACAGAACAACACACACCATGCCGTAGTGAATACGATGTCGGAGATGCGCGCTGCAGCGTCATGTTTGAGCCTTGACTGCAGTCCAATTCCCGTGGCTCCGGGGAATCCAAAAGCTTTAACGTGGTTGGACATTTCGACGTCTAAATCAACCCCTTCAATCTTGTTGCTTATCTTATTCCGCCCACTTTGCTGATTGTTCCCAAAAAATGTCTGAGTCGTGAATGCATCCACCATCAGACAGAAACCTCCACATTGACATTTGTTTTATGGACATTTCACACTCGCTTGTTCTTGCGTGCAAGGCGGCCACGTTTCGTCCGTCTTATCCTGCCTCTCGTTCTCTGGGGCCATTGTTGCTGTGCTGAGAACACCTCATGTCATTCGTACTCACTCGCTCTCATACTAATGACACCAAGTCTACGGAGTATCTCACCAGCATTCGGTTCTTCTCGCATCCTTTTGGCCGGTTGCTACCGTCTCCTCGTCTTATCCTCATCCGGCATTGAAGTCCTGCTTGTTCTCTGGTTACGAGTTGGCTCTCAGTTACCTCTCACAGGCTATTCCTCAACAATGTTGTTTGCAGAGAGGTGGTCACTCTATACGAGGTCAGGAACACCATGGCCGGGGGCGCCGGTTGTTTCGGGGGCGCAAACGACATTAATAACATGTCTACTATATGATACTTTACCTCACTTAGCCGTGGACATGGCGCCTGGATATCCCATTGTTTGCCGGGCTGTCAGCGACTG